TTAAAAATAAAATCATATACTCAGCTCTCTGCTTGGATGTTTATAGGAGTCTGATTCTTTTCACTTTTTGTAAGGGAAATGGGAAGGAAGAAGCAAATGTGAGAATTGTTAACGGGATGAAACTGAGTATCACCATTAGGTGTCAGCATGAAGAAGTAGAGGCATCTAACATAACTCTCAGGTTTCTGTTTTGGCCTGTTAGATAGAAAGTGGCGAAGGACTGAAGGGATACAGAGGAGGGAAAGAGGGAGGGAAGAGAACAGGCAGCGAGAGGGAAGGAGGGAGGGAGGGACAGAGACACACACACAAGTGTGGGTCCTGCTGTAGAAACGACCAGTGTGGGATGGCACCCACAACGGAGCACAGAGTTGGGATTATCTGTTCTTCGCTCAGGGGTGTGTGCTGGGTTGGAGGTTTGGGTTTGGGGACAAGTGGACAGCTATGCTGAGGAGCAGTAAAACAGACAGTTATGGAATGGCCAGAGGAGAAGAAAGAAACAGGGGAACGGGGACCAGAAATAAAGAAAGAAGAGATAGGGGAAGTGGGATTACAAACAGCAAATGCCATGGAGCAATTAAGACAAAAACAGAATCCACAAAATGGGACGATTAAGAGGTCACTGGTGACCTGAACAGAAAGAGATAATTTTTGGGGGTCTGAAATTCATTTTCAGATGACTGAGTTCCAGTAGAGGAAATGAGTTCAGCTCCTACTAGACAGCACACTGAGGTCAGGAGTCAAAGGAAGGAACAAGAACGATGACCAGAGTCAGCACCCCGGTAACCCCAGGTGAGGATTTCACATTTCCTACAGAGGCACCAGGTATGTCTACATATGCACAGAAGAGGATCTGAAGACCTGGATACTCTGAAGAGGGAACTGGGAGTAAAACTGGCGGTCACAAGGAATTGTAGCCTGATCTCTAATTTTAGTATTCTTTTAAGGAGAATTTATTCATGTCTATACTTATATAATTAAAATTAATTTTAATATAAAATCTCCTACAAATAAGGAGATAATATATTCACCGGTCTCAGAACTGACTGTGCGCAGGAGTGCTATGAAGTATTCTCAGCCAGGCTAGAGGCCTTTTTTCTTAGTACAAAGTAGACCTTTATTATAGCTTACTGTCTGGTTTTTAATTTTAACATTTTAAGGATTACATCTTAAGCCTCCTTCTAGCTAAATTATCCTAACTAGAATTATTTTCATATAAAAATATTTTATTAACAAACTAAAATTTAAAATATTTGGATGTATGTCAACAGATGGCTATATTATTTAGGTAATGTAATGTGTGGCCAACATGACATTTCCTCAGACAGGACTATGTTCCCTGAAATAAGAGTGGCACCAGAAGAATATAACAAGTAGATACTGGGAATAAAGAGCATTTAAGGATTGAGCATTAGTTAGTCTCTTAACTTTTAGACATCTGACACACAATAACTTTCTCTTTATTATTAAAAATCATAACTAGATATACAAATTTATTGTTCAGATATAAGAACAATAGTAATCAACCAAAAATCAATTAGTGCCACTCTCTGCAATATAACTGAATATAAGTAAGTCATACAGAATTTGTCAAGAAGGCGTTTAAAATTATTTTTAATCAAAGTCATAGTTAGGAATATATATTATGATTTATACTTCTATTTTGCATTTGTCATTTCTAAGCATCATTCACTTTTGTTTTACACTGAGAATTGGAGAACTGGCCCAGGGTAAAGATTAATAGTATATTTATGAAACCCGAAATCAAGACCTCTCCAAGATGGACCAGTTTTTAAACAGGTTCCCTTCATCAAGGAACAAAAGAGTAATCCACTTTATCTCCTGCAAGATGAGGGACTAGATGGGACCCAGAGAAATACATGGAAGTACTAAAAAATAAATTCAAGGTGATTCAAAGGGGTAAATGTTCTTGTTTTAGTATCCTAAGTACATTTTCTTTTAAAACTCTGCATTTGGGCCTTGTATAATTTACAAGTTACAGAAAGAGCTTCAGGATAGCCGAATAACTATAAGAACAATTTTAAAAAAGAAATTAGTAACAGTATTGCAAAGCCTGTTGGTTACATTTGAGAAAAATTTTCCCTGTTAAAGGAGATTGCAAGTAACAATGTGAAAAAAGGTCCATCTCTCAGTAGTTTCTTGATTAAGCATAATAAAGAGCATGTCAGCAATCTTACAAAATCTGTTCTTACAGAATTCATTGCTGCTTTTAAAGTATTTTATTGCAGAAAAGTTTGGGCATCTACAGAGAGTTCCTTAGGCTTGGTCCTGTTCTATTTTCACCTTGTTCGCCAGCCACCTCCTCCAGTCAGGGTCAAAGCAAACAGTAAACTGTTTACTGCACATACAGACATCAAGTCCCCCAAAATGTTGGATTCTTCAAAACTAAAGTCTAAATAGGCAGCAAAGCAATGTTTTGGAAATCATATGCACTGACATGGCATTACTTTTTTAAAGGGCTTTAAAGAGTTTGCGTAAGAAATGTTAAGCTCAGATTCTTTGCGTTTCCTATAGACAACAAAACCATCATTTACATTAATTATATTTAGCCAAAAATACATGGTCAAAATCGTCCTCACAACTTAATTCTTGGTTGTCAAGTGATACGCTTATAAAATCTACTCTGTGGCAATTTTTCAATTAGTACAAATTTTTCCATATTCAAATATAAGCAGCTGATCAAAGGACTTCTTTAATGAATGTGTCCTATCACACTAGGCACGGAAGTCTAAAGCTAGAGTTTAATGCTGCCTCTGTTGAACCAGTAACACCAGCTAGCAAATTAAAAAGCCAAAAACCATAAAATTCATATAACACTTTCATTTTTGAAGCAAAAATATCACCAAATTAATTATTTTATACAGGACTCAATGTATTTTCAATTTACAATTAAAGTAAAAACTATCACTGAAAATTGCTGAAATAAGAGAAAAGCTGCTCATATATAGGTAATGTTGGATTTTTCTTTGCTATTTCATTTCTCATTTCACTGTAAATATCTGGGTGCTGCTCGTGGGTTTCCCAGGGGCAGATGAGAACATCCTAAGGGTCAGGCTTTCCTTGGGAGAGGCAAAGAGAAAGAGTGAAAACTTTCACAGCTTGGAATGTGGTTGTGAAACACATCCTCTATTCTAGGCTTATGAGCTTTTCAGCTGGTAAATCAAAACCCTGTTATACACCAGGATAACATTCATGACAATTCTCCACATTTTATCTTCTTAAAAATCAAAGGCTCAGTCCTAAAGGGTTAATAGAGGAATTACAAAGTAACTCTCTAGTTTGCATTTCCCATAATACTAAAATAAAGCTGCTTCTTTTAGTCCAGAAATTTGCTTTTTTAATACTGTGAAAAGCCTCCATGAATCTGTTTAACGTATTTACTTCTTTTCATCTATTCAGTGCCACTGGGCATAACCTGTAATGCAGTGCGTGTTGATATTTTGCAAAGCGCCACATGACTCACTGTACCCTAATGCGCTCCATTAATCCTGTTTGGACAGCTGGGTCCAGGCGTTTGTTAGCTGCATTCTAATTGTCCCATCTTTCTTTTTCTTCTTTTTAGTTATCTCTATGGCAAACTACTCAGGAATTTAATTTGTTGATCTTCAAAAAGCAAATTTTGTCATTAAGTTGTTTTCTTTGTATTAAAAGTAGACCTACCATGCAATTTTCTTCCATAAAATCAGTATATATCACTATTAACAATTAATCTTAAATAACAGATCACAGTGAGTTTTATAAATGACTAAATGGTAGGGTGGCTATAATATCACAGAAATTATTGTTGGACTGTCATAAAACAAATGATATCACTTAGTTACAAATGAAGTTACTAAAGTGCATACTTTTGGCATTTTCAAGACTAGCACACCATAAGCAGATGTCAAAACAATAACAAGTCCTATAAAGCAAACACAAAAGAGGTAAGACCACTAAGTAAATAAGCTTTCTATTAGTCTGTGAAACAGTGGTCTCTTTACATTTATACTTAGATTTCACTTCTTACTAAAACATGAAATTCTCGGTAAGCATTGCACAGATAACCATAAAGCCTCTATTTCCCTCTTGCAGCCTGCCTCCCTGCTGGCCAGGAGTCTTAAATCAACAAGGGAGGCAACAGAAGAGGTAAACAAAAGCAACTCAAAGCAACTAGTAATTTTTGTTATGAGCAACTTGTGAAGGTTGAATGATGGGATTCTTCTAATCATTTGTGAACACTCTTAAGTGGAAACCTAGGTCCAGAAAACCAAACAGAAATGCCTAACGGAAACTTTTGTCTGAAATAATATTTAGCCAAGAAGTGAGATCACAGCCTGCAACATGCTTTATAAAAGGTAAGAAGGCCAAGTGAAGATTTGTTCAACTATTTCAATGACAACGTAGAAATGTATTAGTTTTAAAAGATGATCAACGTTCCTGTAAATTGAAAAATTAAGAAAACTACATAAATGACAGGCAAGAAAAAAAGTCAACAACCAAAGGATGCCCTTGAAATCTGCACATGCTCGCAAAGACCTCACTGTTTTCAAGTCTATTTCATGGACATGAAGCAGCTTAAAGTTTTACACATTTTCAGTTTTTTACACCACATACTAAATTTAAGTTTTAAAACACATTTCATATAAGAAAAATTAGTTTAATACTTTCTAGACATTAAACATTTTTTTTAATATCACAGTTTTCTCACCAGAGAACTCAAAAGCTTAACTAAGTCAGTGGAAAGAACTGTCCACTGTTTGGAGAAGGAACATTTTTAAGTATTTAGAAAAATAAATGGTCTTTATTTGATACAAGTACTTGTTTTGGTATGGTTCTCTACATAAACGAAGTATAGAAGTTATAAAATAATGTGAAAGGAAATACTGTATTTCAAAGGATGATCTTTTTGAAAAAGTGCAAAAACTAAAAGTTAAGGCAGAAGTTTAAGAAAGATATGTTAACAAGGTATGGATTTTAAATGGACATTTCTCCTGTAAACTTACCCAGTGTTCTTGACATCACAGGGAGTGCAGAGCTCAAGACCAAGATGGACACACAATTCCCAATGATCTGTGTGGGGATCACAAAGAATATTGGGCAGTCAGACAGCAGAATGACCAATGCAATCAATCTACTCACACTCTGGGAACTTACTGCACATTTTACTTACCTTGTACTATTGTATTGTACTTTGCTAACTTCTTAATGATATTACTCAATATAGAATTTAAAGAGACTAAGAAACGTTTACTACAAATATTTAAAGTTACATCTGTAAAGTTCTAGAAGGTATTTACAGTAGCTGGCACAAATATAAAGTTATAGAACACTTAAATTACACCTCAGACAATGCACTTTACATCATTGATTGAGGTTGCCAATTTTAAAAAGGGTTGCCTGTCAAGTAAAATAGAATGAATACATTTAATACTTCTGACTGTATTTTTAAAGCCAGACTACTGCTCAAGATATATAATATCTACTTCTAATACATTCAACTATTGTAAGATTTAATACCAAAAACTAGAAATCTAAAACCCCTAAATTCTAATAATTCATTTCCAATATGTCCTATGCTTATTCTTTCATATTAAATAAAAGGAGCTGAAAATACTGATTAATGCTGATGATCACTTAAACTAAATGCTAAGTATGTCAACAAGCATAGCATTCTATAGATAGGTAAATAAAGTACATAAAATAACTTTTCCCTTTTAATTTAAGATAGGCTGAAAATATATGATATATAATAAAAAGAAACCAGCAGCTCTTATTACTTATTCTTCATGGTCAGCCTGTGGGAATATTTTAAAACGATGCAGTCACTACATAAGGTAACAGTCTTTGTTATTCCAAAGCCAATGACACATTGTAGGAAGTCAAATTAGCCTCAGACTACAAAATGTTTCTGAATAGAACTCTTCCGTCTTGCTTTAATTATTCAAATTTGAAATACTTTGTCTCTACTACTTGTAGCAACTAAGTTCTTCAGATTTCAAACAAGCTCCCTGAAGTACAGTTTGCACAATCAAAGTTACTCATTAGCAATACGTTTTCTTTTAGAGGAGAAAGAGTCCTTTCAGTAGACTTCTGTAGCTGGTTAACAAGCTCTGCAGTTGTATGCATTTACAAGTGAATGGATGCCATCCAAATTAAACAGAGCAGCACATCCTTTTCCCACTCATTCAGCATTTTGAAAATCTTTCAGTTTGTGTTTATGCAATTTACAAACAAATACCTATCACCGCAAATGAACCATTCAGGGCGATTACAAAATAAAACAGCTCCTTTCCCTTGGAACGCAAAAGGGAAGCACAGCCACCTAAGACTTCACCTTACCTTTGTCATAGTTGTGTCATCCTTCTTGGGAATAAAATTTCCAAAAAATCGGAGGCTATAGAAACCGACAACAGAGGACACCATAAGATAGCTGTGAGAATCAAGGAAAAAACCCTCCAAAGAATGCAAGTTTCCTTAAAGAACTACAGTAGTCTCCAGAAACTCTTAAGGTCCAAAAGAAAAACAAAACAAAAAGCCACTTGGCGTGCTTGAGGAAGACTGATTTGTTTTTCCCTTCTAGGCAAGTATCTTAGTAAGTTACCACTGTTCCAGAAAACTAAACAGAAAATTTGTTAAACAATGTTTAGTTAAAGAAAGGATACAAAATCAAAATGATTTCAAGTGCAGCTCCCACAAAACCAAAAGCAGAAAGAGAAGCATTTCCTATTCCAGGACCCTGGGGGGGGGAAAAATCGCTTTTCAGAATTCAGTGACACTATATATTTGCTTTCCCTAAAACTGTTTCATAAATACAGGAATTAGGAATGTTTAATACCCTAGAATAACATCTAGATTTTCTAAGGACAATAAAACATGACATTAGATTGCGTTCATCAACTAATGCAAGCATGTGTTAATAATTTTAACAAGCTCAAAACATCTCCAATTTATCTCAAATGTAATTTACTTATCAAAATGATATTATACTTATTGTTAAAAGTCCTGAATATTACTGGAAGAAATTCTTTTTAAAACAGTACCACAGGAATAGAATATAATTATTTAAATAAACCCTACAACAACATATAAAATTATACAATTAAAATATATCAAAGTAGGCTAAGCATAGAAAGAAAGTGAATGTGTAGATCCTATTTCTACAGTTGAAAGTTTTGTTTCCCCAAATCTTCCTTGGGAATTCAGACGTTTTTAAAAGATTCAACTTAATTAACACAGATTTTTTTTAAGGTAACACTACACATTTTTCCAAAACATTATACCTATTGTCAAAACCTATCTTTATCTAGAACTTAAAAGACAACAAGCAGAAAAACCAGTATTTATTAATGAGACCAAACAGGCAAAAAAATAATTTCTTACTAAAGTAGGAAGAATATTTTCAAAGTTTACCAGTTAAAGGAAGTATTCAAATATGAACTACTGTTCTACTATCAGCTTTAATTGTATCAAACAAAAATACCAGGAAAATTAAGAATGTATAGTCAGGTTAGTAAAAAATAAACCAATAAATAATATCATACATACCATATATACATTCTAATTTTGGCATAAAGAAGTAAGAATGCTCATGGAAATTTCATATATATAAACAAGTCAAAGAACTATCAACTTTTTGTCAATCTTTTGACAAAGAAATGAATAATGCTAATAGAAAGCTTATTGGCTGGGTGAAAACATTTTGGGAATATTCCCTATCTCAAGAGAAATCCTCCAGGCAGAATTAAGATGATCTGATTTATTTACACAATCATGCATAGGCCCTATGAGGTATAAGTTCCTCTCTATGATACACTAAGGGGATGGTACAAAAATGTACTATGGGGGTTTGGGACTTACACAGTGTGCAATGTATAAAAGAGGGTTACAAAGTGAATAGAAGCCAACACAGTAGATAACTTCCTGCTCTATCAATGAATTTGGGTCTAACAAAAGATTAAGACCAGGTTGCAGATGAAGTACGTTTAGTGTTATTGCTTGCTTGTGGAATGAGGCACCTGGAAAGCATGTTGGCTGGCTAGACAATGGGCAGTAACAGAAGGCACAAGGTCCAGCAAAAGTTAGAGGAGGGCAGGATCTAACTGGAGAATATGGCTGAAAAAAATTAGCTTTGAAAGAACAGGGTATCTCCGTCTTGGACTGAAGGGAAGAAATTTAGGTTGATGTTGGCTTGTTTCTATGAGAGGAAAGGTATACATCCTCTGGTTCAGAGAGAGAAGCGGCACTAAAAGTCTGGAAGAATTTTGAAGTCATTTCTATGGGGAATAAGAATGCTACTGACTTAGAAAAATGTAAGAAAATGTTAGGATGTAAATGCTACTTTAAGCAATCAAAAGTTTACAGAGACTCCTAGAACTATGCCAAAAATGAATCTTTAGTGATAACTACCTTCTATATGGAGAATATATTTAAATGGGCTAAAAGATAGAATTTAATAGAATCAACTTTAAACAAGAGAGAAAACAAATTCATGAAAAGATGTACATCTGACTCTCCTCCAGTAACTAAACATTTGACTCAGTTTCATAAAATGTGTGACTCTTCTGAAACATAAGTCTACCAACCACAGATCAGGATCTTTTGCAAACACTATGAATCCATCTAATAAACTCCTTCCACATCACTATTTCACAGAGTATACATTTTCTTAAAGAATTACAAATATGAACTTTAGTAAAACTAAAATAAACTGTGATACAAAATCTAAAAGGAAACTCTGATATTTGGTAAAAGGGCTGGCCAACCAAAAGTAAGAAATTAGAAACAAAAGTCATAGTTCACAAACACTGTTTACAAAGGCTCTTTACATAAAGAAATTCATACAACCTGAAACAAAGGTGCAGAAAGGTGATGTTTTAAATTACTTATTTGAAACACTCTGGGTATATACACAGAACACTTTTGCAAAAGAAAGACATTTTAAGCACTTTACCCTTGTTCCCTTTGGCATGGCTGTTTCATCAACCAACAGGCAAAGAATATTACAAGCCACCAAGAGGACCGAGATGGACTACAACACAAAAAATGATTATCAGTTCTGAATTTCACAGATATTTTGTGAGTACACATGTATTAAAATCTAAGTTATCAACCAAATATACGCTTCAGAACAGAGGAGAAGACCAAAATTCTACACACAAACAAACCGAAAGTAATCAAACTATCTGCAAAAACTCCAGAATAAACTCTAAAAGCTTCTGCAAATTATTACAATTTCAAAGCTTGTGACTAAAGCTAATAATATAGATCCAGTTACTGACTGATTCCCAATTGGAAACCCACAACTCCACAGATTTAAAAAATGGTTAAAATGTTATTAGAACTAATTTAATAATATTATTTTCACATCCCATCATAGTCTGAAGCAAGATATCGGCAATACCTTGTCTCTTAATTCTAAATGGCACAAAAGAATAAATGTCCTGCTTTCATGAGGAAATAGTTAATCTTAAGAACTTTTTAAAAATTGCCATTAATTTCCATTTTTGCTCTATTGAGTTTTTCCAAATAAAAGTATAGATGGATTTTAATCCTGTTGATAGAAAACCAGTTTACTTGAAACCCATTTAGCTGAGGGAGTTGCCATACTGAAATATCAAAGTAAATAAAAAATAATTTGCTTTATTTAACTAGGCAAATAAATTCTTACTGTCTCAATAAGAAGGAGAACCATAACAGCAGGATACACCAAATTTCTTTCCCATGCTGAAGCTTTTTTTCGCCTCTCTATTAGGAAAAAAAACAAAATACAACAAAAGATTTCCAAAAATTCTCTCCAGACCCATATTTTCATTCCTTACTGCTATAATCAGTATGTATTATTTTTATATAATTTCTTTTCCACAAACATAAATTATTTTTAATTTTCCTCCAAAAACTATAAAAATCAGAGTTTAAAAATCACTTTGCTACATTAAATAGCTCAATCCTATGATGCTTACATTTTAGCTCTGTAAAGACATTTCCGTTGCTAACAAAATGTACTGTTAATACATGGTTTACTATGAAAATATAGAAATATTTGTATTTGATGTAGATTTACACATTGATATAGATTTGAGTGAATAAAGTTAATTAACATGAGTAAAAATCCCCTTTAATCCAAAGATAAATACCTCCAGTTTTCTAAAGGTGGAAGCAAACTTCTGGCTACAGTGATCTACCTGATTATCACACCAATCCTCATGCTATGAACAACTGGTAAAAACAAATCAAACTTAACTAAGAAAAAAAATACATGAAGGAATCACAGAGCTACCGCAACAAAACTATGAGGTCAATACTCTGTGAAATGGATTGATGTGAGCCCTCACATTTGCACTATCTTTCCCTCAGAGTCTTCCAACAAAAAAATGACATGGCCCCACGAAGCTGAGAAATCAAGCAAATATCAGTGGGTGAAAGAAAATGTTGCTAAAGCAATGCTTTCAGCAAACTCAACAGCATCAGAAAAACAAAAACTGGAGTGTGGGGCTACCAAGGCAGCCAAAATTTGAGAGGCTATGATCACAGAGAAAAGGAAAGAAAAAAGAAGGGAGCCTAACATTCAGCCTCTTGCCCTGCAAGGCACCAGTGGCCAGCAGGCTGAGAAAGTGACTAGAAGGTACAGCAAAGAGAAGGAGCAAAGCTTCTGTCAGGCTCACATTTCTTGAGATAAAAACTAAAGTTCAGGGTACATAAAGAAGATGGTATCATAGTCAACAACAAAACACCCAGGCTTTCACTTAGGAAAGCTATACAGTAGGAGCAAGGCCAAACTGCAAAGCGACCGACTCTCAAGAAGACCAAAACCCACTCTGGAACTATCACCAGCCCAGACAGATGAAAGGATTTGTCCCTACTCTAACTGCCTACCAGAAGAAAAAGTAAATCCTCTCAAGAAGAAAACATTATCCAGAGTTTTTATTTTGTATAAGAAATGCCTGACACTCAATCAAATGTTCCCTGGAGATAGGACAAAGAAAAAAGATAATAGAAACAGACTCAGTTTATCCAGATATTGAACTTATCAGAAAGAGGTCTTAAAATAACTGATTAATATGTTCAATAAGGTAAGTGACAAGATGGCAAATGTCATAATTTGAATCTAGAAAATACCTGAATGAAAACTGTAGAACTGAAAAATACTGTAACTAAAATTAAGACTTCAAGAGATAATTTAGCAATAGTTATGACACAGCTGAAAAGACACTGAAATGGAAAACACATCAATAGAAAATATCACAGATCAAAGAATGTGATAAAGGAGGGGAAACTCAGAAAACAATACAGGAGTGAAAAGGTCTAGCACATGTGCAGCTAAGGTCAAAGGAACTAAAAGAAAAGGAGCAGAAGCAGCATTTGATGAGACGATGGCCAGCAAGTCCCCAAATGGATAAAAGACATTAGGCCACACACTGACGAAGCGCCACAGATCTCAGAAGAATAAACACAAAGAAAACCAAACCTGAGCACATCAGGGTAGAACTACTAAACAAAGACAAAAAGAAAATCTTAAAAGCTTTCAAAAGGGCAACAATACAACTTTTAACCAGAAACCAGAAGACACTAAAAAGACATTTTTTCAATGTTGAAAACTACCAGATAAGAATTCTTAATTCTGTAAAAATGCCCTACCAATGAGAAGGCAAGTAAAAATGTTTTCAGGTAACAAAAACTAGAGAATTCGTTGCCAACAAACAAGCACTAATGAAATGCTAGCAGATGTTTTTCAAGCAGAAGCTAAATGAACACTGGAAACACAAATCAGGGACATATAAATTAAAACACCAGTGAAAACCACTTCACAACCACTAAACTGGTAAAAATGTAGAGTCCAACACTGTCAATTGTTGACAAAGATGCTGAGCAACAGGAAGTCTTACTCATGCCTAAAACAAATGCAAAATAATACAACTACCTGGGAAAACAATTTGGCATTATTTTAGAAAACTGCATATTCACATATTCAATGATCCTATAATTCCACTTCCAGGTATGTACCCTGAAAAAACATGTGTACCAAAAGGTATGGAGAACAATGTTTATACCAATATTATTCATAATAACAGAAGAGAAACACATCAAATATCCACCAACAGCAGAATGAATAAAGTAACTTGAGACAATATGATGTTGTTTACAAAAATGAAAATGAGAGCAACCTACAGAATGGGAGAAGGCATTTGCAAATGATATATCCACTAAAGGGTTAATATCCAAAATATATGAAGAACTTATACAACCCAGCACCAAATTAAAAAATGAAAAGAAGACTTGAATAGACATTTTTCCAAAGAAGACATCCAGATGTCCAACAAACACAGGAAAAGATGCTCAACATCACTCATCATAAGGGAAATGCAAATAAAAACCACAATAAGATATCACCTTATACCTGTCAGAATAACTAAAATCAGTAACACAAGAAATAACAAGTGTTGGCAAAGATGTAGAGAAAAAGGAACCCTCATACACTGTTGGTGGGAATACAAACTGGTGCAGCTACCATGGAAAACAATATGGAGGTTCCTCAAAAAATTAAAAAGAGAATTACCAAACAATCCAGTAATTCCAAAACTGGGTACCCAAAGAAAACAAAAACACTAATTCAAAAAGACATATGCACCCCAATGTTTATTGCAGCATTAATTTACAATAGCCAAGACATGGAAATAACCCAAGTGTTCATCCACAGATGAATGGATAAAGATGTGATTTGTATACATTTACACACACACACACACACACACACAGGACTATTACTCAGCCACGAAAAAGAATGGAATCCTGCCATCTGCAACAACATGGATAGAGCTAGAGTGTACTATTCTAGGTGAAGTAAGTTAGTCAGACAAAGACAAATACCATATGATTTCACTCACATGTGGGATTTAAGAAACAAAACAAAACAAGTAAAAAAAAACAAAAAAACCACTCTTAAATACAGAGAACAAACTGATGATTGGCAGAGGAAGTGGGTGGAGGATGGGTAAAATACCATGATGAGCACTGAGTAATATATGGAATTGCTAAATCACTATATAACTATCACTATATAACACTGCATGGTAATTATACTTCAATACAAAAAGAAAAATGAAAATGAATAAATTTTCAACAATAAAACACTGGACTTCATTTCTGAAAACAGAGTAATAATAGGGACCAATTTTCCATCCAGGCTGAAACAATTAGGAAACAAAAAATACATGCATATGAAACACTTTCAAGACTAAAGATCTCTGAGAGATGGGAAGCAAACAAGGCAAGCCCTGGGTTTGCTCCTGCTTACTGTCTTGCGACAGTTTGCTGACCACAGTAGAGGGCACAGGAACCCAAGCAAAGCCCAACTCATTCCTTGAGTTGAGGACATAAAATGGGAGTGTGGAGAGACCAAGTTAGCTGGACTATACAGAGCAAAGTACCACAGACAAAAGTCCTCAGAGAAAGAACTCCACGGATCTTCAAAGGGTCATCCTTGAATCTTCAGTAGGGTAAAGATCAGCTCAGGTACATGAACAAACAACCCACCCCTGAAGAAAGAACCACCCATGGAGCAGGAGTATCCAACCATTATAAGGGGCCAAGAATAGGGCCTGCTCCCACAAGGTAAGAATGAGACCTCATAAATGACAAGCATTGTTGCCTTAGTGTGGGAACAACTGGCCCTAGAGGACATGCTGCTCTAGCCCTGCCTGACAAGCCTTCAGAGCAAAACCCAAGAATATCAAACTGCTTCCAAGTAACTTAACTGCAACCCAGAACAAAGTTCCACACTTACAGGAATACAAAAATATCAGCACCCAGCAGTAAAATTCTCAGTGTCCACTATCCAATCAAAAATTGCTAGGCATGCATAAAAGCACAAAAATATACCCAATGATGAGGAGGAAAGTCAATCAATCAAAATCTATCAAGAACTAACACAGAAGTTATAAAAACATTGTGTTATTATAATATATTCCATATTTTTAAAAAGTGGAGGACACAGACTAAACAGGTCTAAACAGAACTTATAAGTATAAAAACTGCAGTGTCTGAGGATGCCTGGGTTACGTCGGTTGAGCATCAGACTCAATCTCAGCTCAGGTCTTGATCTCAAGGTCGTGGGTTCAGGCCCTGCACTGGGCTCCACACTGGGCGTGGAGCCTATTTAAAAACAATAATAAAAAAAACTGCAGTGTTTGAGAAGAATACAATAGATGGGATTAAATGCAGATTAGATACTCAAAAGAAAAAAGTAGTGAACATGAAGATATAGTAAGAGGAACTATGCAAAATGAAACACACAGAGAAAAACATCTGAAAAATAAAGGAACATCCGTGAGTTTGGGGAACAACTTCCAGTGGGCCAGTGTACATGTAACTGGAGTCCCTGAAAGGGTAGCACAGAGAGGAAAAGAAAAAAACATTTGGAAAAACAATGGCCAAAAATGTTCCAAATTAGACGAAAACTATAAATTCCCAGATCCAAGAGACTCAATGAAGCCAATGAATAAGAAATATAAAGAAAACTACTCTAAAGTACATCTGAATCAAACTGTTCAAAGTCAGTGACAAAGAGGACATCTTAAAAGCAGAGACAGAAAAAAGACAATTCAAAGGATGAGGAGGACAGATTACTCGTCAGAAATAATGCAAGTGAAGAGACAACAGAGTGACATCTCTGAACATCAGCATCTGAAAAGTCCTTTTATGCACATACAAAACAAAACAAAAATGGGAGTACATACATGTTTATCTTCTCCCCAAACTAAAAAACAGTCTGTATCTATAGCTTTGGACAGACTGGAAGCTTGTAACATACCCTAAAGATTTCATCACTTTTTTTAATATTTCAGACTATAGGCAAGTCTTTGGAAAGAATCCAAGACCAGGACATGAGTCAGGAACAAAAATGTACAGTACCTAATTTTGTCTTAAGAGTCTTCACATTTTCAAGTTCTTGTTCCAACTCCATTATATTGTATTCCACTGATGATGACAGTCCTGTCAAAAGCAAAAATAGTTCAGAAGTATCACAACAGAACCTTATTAACAGCATAGAATGGGTAGCCCTCACTTTAATTAAAATATAAGATAACACACTACAAATCCTGATCACGGAGAATAAAAACAAATGCTGCTGTGATTCACAGGAAAACATACCTATCAATTTCTTCACCACTTAAGACTTCCAGGTTGTTGCTGATTAAATACTACATGTTTCCTAGAAAATGCCTTACTCTGATAATATTTTTACTTGATCTGTTGTTAATTTTTCATTAATGACAAAAGTATCATATGATTATAGAAAGTGAAAGAAATTCACAATCTCCTTCTCTATCCCACCCCCCTAAAGTGACAATTGGTAACAGCCTGGTTGATGCTTCCACACCTTTCTTCATGCTCATGTGAATATTCATAGATACATATATACCACACACATGGTTTCTATTATATATTTTATAAAAATGGGTTAAATCAGACATGTTATTTTACCACTTGCTTTCCTAGTCAATGATACATCCATGTCTACAGTTAGTGCCAACTCCCTTAACAACTGAGTAACATTCCATAGTATGGACGCATTTCAATTTCATTCAGAATTATTCCACTTATGACTAGTCAGACTTTCCTGTTTTTGGCAACTCCACACAATGTTGTAACAAAAATTTCTATATGCATATCCAGTACATTCTAATTCTATTGTTTCTATAGGACAGATTCCCAAAATTTCAATTGCTGAGTCAAAGGATATAAGCATTTACAGTTAAGAGATATTTAAAGGTTACTTCCTTCTAAATATTGAATTTATTGTAATGATTTAAATATTGTAATAATTTTTTTTTTAATAAAATATTTTTTTAAAAAAACAAGGGCACCTGGGTGGCTCAGTCAGTTAAGCATTGGACTCTTGATTTTGGCTCAGATCATGATCTCAGAATCATGAGACTGAGCCCCATGACAAGCTTTGCACTGGGTGTGGAGCCTGCTTAAGACTCTCTCTCTCCCTCTCCCTTTGCCCTTATTTCCATGCTTGCATGCACACGCGCACACACATACACACACACTCAAAAAAAGGAAAAAAAGAAAAAAATTATTATAATAATTTACATTTCCATATAGCTTTTGAAAGTACCTATTTTCTTCCTGTATTTTCCCTAGCACTGGATGTTGTAATTCCTGAATTTTGGCCAGTATGATGGATTTCTTATTGTTACTTTAACATGCATTCCCCTAAATGTTGTTGAGCATCTTTTCAGAGGTTTATTTATCACATGGACTTTCCCTATTCACATTTTCTACTTATTTCTATAATGATGTGTATATCTCCATATTCTATTTTATCCGTTAAATTCTGCAATAGATAAATTAAAATCCCCCACTACAAATGTACTTTTTTTATTGATTACATCTTCTCAGTTTTTAAGAGTTTTTTCATTATATATTTGTATTTGTCTAAGTTTTTCGGGTTCGTATAAGACTGTTACACCTACCTTATGAATCACACCTTTTATCTTTAGATAATGACCCACTTTGTCTTGAATGTTTCTCTGCTTAAATTCTGTTTTGTGGACCTTAAGTTCTACTTTCTTTTTGTTTTTACCTGCCTTACTTACTTACTGATTTATTACAAACTTACATATAAGAGACAAAGAAAGAAAGATTAAAATTAAAGGGGTGTGTGTGTGTGTATCAGCTGAATCTTATTTGAGGTTTAATCTTATCAGATAGAGTTCATTATAAGCAACTGAAATTGACTGACTGGTTAAAACTGAAAAGGAATTCATGAGACAGAGGGAACCAGCAGGAAAACTTCTAGTTTTCCTGGAAAGAAGAGGAACCAGGCAGCTGGGGGCTCCAGGTGGCAGGAGCAGATGGACTGTCTCCTCATAGTATTATACCTGGGATGGATCAGTCCCAACTATTTTCAGTCTTTATGTTGCTATGATCAAGAATAAAATTTTTAGACTTTATGTTGCTAAGATCAAGAATAAGTTTCCAGTGTCCTAATGGCCTAGCTCAGAGTCACATGTTAATTCCCTGAGTAGGGGAGGCAGAGAACTTTGACAAGCCGTTCCACAGATGTGATCAAATAGGAGAAACAACAAAGCCCAATCAGATGCTTTCCTAGAATAAAGGGCAATAGGTGCTTATAGCAAAATGGTTGAATAACCCAATCTGACAGCCTCTGTTCTTTAACAGTGGAATTCAGCCCATTTACATTTAGTAAAATAAAGTATTTGCGTTCAATATAATTTTTTATAACAGCTGATAAACTTGATTTTATATCTTCCATACTACTTAACTTTTGAAGTGGTTTTTTTTTTTAATTTTATCTTTCTCAAAATGAAACGTGCACACAATTCCAAGTCCCACATACTTGCACAAGGCATATGCATACATGCTGCGTTCCTCCTAGTTCCACCTACCCAAAGACGGCCACTTCGAGTTGTTTAGTTGATTCTTTCAGTATTTGTCTTCCTAGCACTAAACAAACAGCTTCCTTTGCTGGGTCTTGATTTTCCAGCTCTATGGCCTTTTTCCGCTTACTTACTATGGTCTTCCTACCAAACCACACACCTTGTCATTCCCCCCTCTCCCAATGTGGATAATTGGACATTTTGGTTACATTAATATTCGATGTCTGCATCATTACAAAAGAAATGCCATCCATTACTTACCCACATAATAAACTATGATTAGCTTTCCTTTCTTCTATATAGTATTCTTCCCACCCCTAGAAGTAGTCATTTTCCCCATTTGCTTAGTCTTCTATGTACTTATCACTGTCTCAAAGCCACCTTCTCCTCCCAAATGTCTTTTCCTCTTGGTGTTTAAACTCCTGTTATCCCATTCATCGCATTATCTGGGAGCAACTTCTCCTGGAGTCGTGAGACCTGCCCTGGCCTGGACAGGCTGCTCTCTAGGCCTGCTGCACACTGGCATCCCGGGCCCTGTTCTCACCTCTCCTATGGCACATCTCTTATTTCCAACTTAGCCTTTCTCACTGCTTCACTCCTTTATTTAGGTGGCACATGGCCTCTCCAGCAGCTTGCAAAGAAAAGGTGAATGGGAGGTAGTATTTTTGAGACTACGTAAGTCTGGATATTTTACCTTTGCTCTCATAGTTTGGTTAAATAAGGAAATCTAGGTGAAAACTATCCTTCAGAATTATTAAGTCATGGGGTGCCTGGGTGGCTCAGTCGTTAAGCGTCTGCCTTCGGCTCAGGTCGTGATTCCAGGGTCCTGAGATCGAGCCCCGCATTGGGCTCCCTGCTCTGCTGGGAAGCCTGCTTCTCCCTCTCCTACTCCCCCTGCTTGCATTCCCTCTCTCGCTGTGTCTCTCTCTGTCAAATAAATAAATAAAATCTTTAAAAAAATTTATTAAAAAAAAAAATGATTAAGTCATTGTTCCATTGTCTTCCAGCTTCTAATGCTGCTTCTGAGAAGTCTAAAATTCTTCTTCTTGTCCCCTTGAGTGTGAACTGCTTACCATCCTGTGAAATGTGTGGGATCTTTGTTCCCAGTGTTCTTGCAGTGAGTCCCTTTCCATGAACTATGCGGGGCACTAGTGAGCCCTTCCAATCTCCAAATTCACATCCTTTGGATCTGGGAAATCTCTCCTCTCTCCAACTGGAATTCCTATTATTTGGATGTTAGATATCCTGAACTGGTTTTCTAATATTCTAAACTCTTCTCCTATTTTGGCATTTTGACCTATTTTCTAAAAAATTCTCTATCTTCCAGTCTTTTAGATAAGTCATTATTTCTAATTATCAAGAATCACTTTCTGTTCACTTTCTGTTAATAAATAAAAGGTTTGTTCTCCAGAGAGTGAAACAGAGGCTGTGGCCCGGTGAAGTAGAGGATGGGGTGAGTGCTCACAGGCTCCCATCTCTCTTCACTTGGACAGCCAAGGAGATGAGAAGAGTCTTATCTGGGGAGTCTGTCTAGCCCAGGAGGAAAGCCCCACAGAAGCCAGCAGTAGGGTGTCCTCCATGAAAGACCTGGCTGGATTACCCAGTAAGAAGTTGTCAGCCGCCACCTACACACTCTTGGGCTTCACATTAGCATGTTTAGTGCTTTGTTCTTTTTTTTTTTCCCCCAAGGATTTTATTTATTTGGGAGAGACTGAGAGCGTATGCGAGTGGGGGGAGGAGCAGAGGGACAAATAGACTTCACGCTGAGTGTGGAACCCTATGTGGGGCTTGGTGTCACAACCCTGAGATCATGACCTGAACTGAAACCAAGAGTTGGAAGCCCTAATCAACTGACGTCCCGGTGCTTTATTCTTAAATATGAGCAGACAAGGTTCATCAGACTTCTGAGCCACATGAAAGGAGAGGCCAAAACAAATAAGACCACTGAAGGAGACAATATACACTAGAGAAAAATATTTAAAAATAAACCTGTTTTTAATATCCTGAGAGAGACCAAGATTACAGTCATGATAAAGGCCAGGATTTCATAAAAATGGAGTATGTAGTGAACAGAAAGTGATTCTTGATAATTAGAAATAATGACTTATCTAAAAGACTGGAAGATAGAGAACTTTTTTTTTTTTAAAGATTTTATTTATTTATTTGAGAGAGAGAATGAGAGACAGAGAGCACGAGAGGGAAGAGGGTCAGAGGGAGAAGCAGACCCCCCGCCGAGCAGGGAGCCCGATGTGGGACTCGATCCCGGGACTCCAGGATGATGACCTGAGCCGAAGGCAGTCGCTTAACCAACTGAGCCACCCAGGCGCCCCGATAGAGAACTTTTTTAGAAGATAGGTCAAAATGACAAAAATAGGAGAAGAGTTTAGAATATTAGAAAACCAGTTCAGGATATCTAACATCCAAATAATAGGAATTCCAGTTGGAGAGAGGAGAGATTTCCCAGATCCGAAGGATGTGAATTTGGAGATTGGAAGGGCTCACTAGTGCCCCGCAAAGTAGATGGAAAGGGACTCACTGCAAGAAGACTGGTGGCTCTTTCTCCTTTCATGTAATTTCATAATT